CCCACCTTATAGTGCATTTTTCCAGCCCATACTTCCTTAACTTGCTGACAAGAATACTGTGGGAGACCGTGTCAAAAACTTTGCTAAAGTCAAGAAACAATACATCCACTGCTTTCCCTTCATCCACAGAACCAGTAATCTCATCATAAAAGGCAATTAGATTAGTCAGGCATGACCTTCCCTTGGTGAATCCATGCTGGCTGTTCCTGATCACTTTCCTCTCATGCAAGTGCTTCAGGATTGATTCTTTGAGGACCTGCTCCATGATTTTTCCAGGGACTGAGGTGAGGCTGACTGGCCTGTAGTTCCCAGGATCCTCCTTCTTCCCTTTTTTAAAGATTGGCACTACATTAGCCTTTTTCCAGTCATCCAGGACTTCCCCCGTTCGCCACGAGTTTTCAAAGATAATGGCCAATGGCTCTGCAATCACAGCCGCCAATTCCTTCAGCACTCTCGGATGCAACTCGTCCGGCCCCATGGACTTGTACACGTCTAGCTTTTCTAAATAGTCCCTAACCACCTCTATCTCCAGAGAGGGCTGGCCATCTCTTCCCCATTTTGTGATGCCCAGCGCAGCAGTCTGGGAGCTGACCTTGTTAGTGAAGACAGAGGCAAAAAAAGCATTGAGTACATTAGCTTTTTCCACATCCTCTGTCACTAGGTTGTCTCCCTCATTCAGTAAGGGGCCCACACTTTCCTTGGCTTTCTTCTTGTTGCCAACATACCTGAAGAAACCCTTCTTGTTACTCTTGACATCTCTTGCTAGCTGCAGTTCCAGGTGCGATTTGGCCCTCCTGATATCATTCCTACATGCCCGAGCAATATTTTTATACTCTTCCCTGGTCATATGTCCAACCTTCCACTTCTTGTAAGCTTCTTTTTTATGTTTAAGATCCGCTAGGATTTCACCATTAAGCCAAGCTGGTCGCCTGCCATATTTACTATTCTTTCGACTCATTGGGATGGTTTGTCCCTGTAACCTCAACAGGGATTCCTTGAAATACAGCCAGCTCTCCTGGACTCCTTTCCCCTTCATGTTAGTCCCCCAGGGAATCCTGGCCATCCGTTCCCTGAGGGAGTCGAAGTCTGCTTTCCTGAAGTCCAGGGTCCGTATCCTGCTGCTTACCTTTCTTCCCTGCGTCAGGATCCTGAACTCAACCAACTCATGGTCACTGCCTCCCAGATTCCCATCCACTTTTTCTTCCCCCACTAATTCTACCCGGTTTGTGAGCAGCAGGTCAAGAAAAGCGCCCCCCCTAGTTGGCTCCTCTAGCACTTGCGCCAGGAAATTGTCCCCTACGCTTTCCAAAAACTTCCTGGATTGTCTATGCACTTCTGTATTGCTCTCCCAGCAGATATCAGGAAAATTAAAGTCACCCATGAGAATCAGGGCATGCGATCTAGTAGCTTCCGTGAGCTGCCGGAAGAAAGCCTCATCTACCTCATCCCCCTGGTCCGGTGGTCTATAGCAGACTCCCACCACTACATCACTCTTGTTGCACACACTTCTAAACTTAATCCAGAGACACTCAGGTTTTTCTACAGTTTCATACCGGAGCTCTGAGCAGTCATACTGCTCCCTTACATAGAGTGCTACTCCCCCACCTTTTCTGCCCTGCCTGTCCTTCCTGAACAGTTTATAACCATCCATGACAGTACTCCAGTCATGTGAGTTATCCCACCAAGTCTCTGTTATTCCAATCACGTGATATTTCCTTGATATCACCAGGACCTCCAGTTCTCCCTGCTTGTTTCCAAGGCTTTGTGCATTCGTATATAAGCACTTGAGATAACCTGTTGATCGCCCCTCATTCCCAGTATGAGGCAGGAGCCCTCCCCTCACAGACATTCCTGCCTGTGCTTCCTCCCGGTATCCCGCTTTCCCACTTACCTCAGGGCTTTGGTCTCCTTCCCCCGGTGAACCTAGTTTAAAGCCCTCCTCACTAGGTTAGCCAGCCTGCTGGCAAAGATGCTCTTCCCTCTCTTCGTAAGATGGAGCCCGTCTCTGCCCAGCACTCCTCCTTCATGGAACACCATCCCATGGTCAAAGAATCCAAAGCCTTGTCTCCGACACCACCTGCGTAGCCATTTGTTGACTTCGACGATTCGACGGTCCCTCTGACCCTGCCCCTCACCACTCGCTCTACAAGGGCTCAGGCCTCCTTGGCGGCTTTCCTGGCCCAGGTTCCAATCCAGGAGATCTGTAGAGCTTCTACTTGGTCTTCAGTACATACTTTTGCCTCTCACTGTGCCATCATCCGGCAAGCCAGAGATGATGTGGCGTTTGGTAGAGCAGTCCTACAATCTACGGTACTTCACTCTGACCCCACCGCCTAGGTAAGGCTTGGGAGTCACCTAATTGGAATCGATATGAGCAAGTACTCGAAGAAGAAAAGACGGTAACTCACCTTTGTAACTGTTGTTCTTCGAGATGTGTTGCTTATATCCATTACAAACCTGCCATCCTTCCCCTCTGTCAGAGTAGCCAGCAAGAAGGAACTGAGGGGGTGCTGGGTCGGCTGGGGTATATATCTAGCACCATGACGGTGCCACTCTGGGGGCTCCACAGCCAACCCACTGGGTGTTGCTAGGGTAGAAATTCTCCAACGGCCATGCACATGGCGGGCGCACACCTAATTGGAATGAATATGAGCAACACATCTTGAAGAACAACAGTTACAAAGGTGAGTAACCATCTTTTCTTTTTTTAACCCAGTTATAGTCTTGGCCTTCACAACGTTCTCTGGCAAAGAGTTCCACAGGTTGACTGTGCATTGTGTAAAGAAATACTTCCTTTTGTTTTAAATCTGCTGCCTATTCATTTCATTTGGTGACCCCTAATTCTTGTGTTATGAGAAGAATATGAGAGTGTTACTTACTCCATTTTCTCCACACCAGTTATGATATTTTTAAGGTCAGGCTTGACAAAGCCTTGGCTGGGATGATTTAGTTGGGGATTGGTCCTGCTTTGAGCAGGGGGTTGGACTAGATGACCTCCAGAGGTCCCTTCCAACCCTGATATTCTATGATTCTATGATGTTATAGATCTTTATCATATCCCCCCTTAGTCGTCTCTTTTTCAAGCTTAAAAGTCCCAGTCTTTTTAATCTCTCCTCATACGGAAGCTGTTCCATACCCCTAATCATTTTTGTTGTCCTTTTCTATACCTTATCCAATTCCAGTATATGTTTTTTGAGATGTGGTCACCACATCTGCACACAGTATTCAAGATGTCGGCATACCATGGATTTACATAGAGGCAATATGATATTTTCTGTCTTATTATCTATCCCTTAATGATTCCCAACATTCTGTTAGCTTTTTTGACTGACGCTGCACATTGAGTGGATGTTTTCAGAGAACTATCCACAATGACTCCAAGATTGTCTTGATTACAAGTAGATAGCCTTGATTAAATTTCAGTGCCTTTTGTTACATTGTAATGGGTCATACCCAAGTTAGCTATTCTGTTGTTGTCACACCCCACCGGGAGCTTTTTTCATTGGTCACAAGCTAACAGTTGTTAACTCAAAACAAGAATGCCCATGCATCTGTGAGTCATCCTTTTATCCAGTTTGGGCCTCTGAACTTATCTTCATGTAACAGGTGATCATCAGGCAATGGTTTCTCCTCCAGGTGCAGCTTCCATAGATTTCCTGTGGAGATGAGAATTTGCCTCTCACCCCCCCCACAAGTTTTTCTTAGAAATCCCACTTAATTTTGTCTAGCACATTGTTTCAAAGAGTCCTTTGAAGCTGATAACACTTCCTAGGGTTTATATTGTCCAGTTCTTCTCCCTGGAGATGTTACAGACCATCCCACAGTAATACATACACACTCGTATTTTTAATACAGTGAACACCTAGGATACTGAAATTTAATTCAATAAAGTTTGACTTAATTCAGTAAGGGTGGTCCAGGATATTACAGGAAATTGCCATCTGTGTCACACCAATTTCTATCTGTATCTGACTCTTGTCTTATTCTTAGATTGTCAGATCTTTGGGGCAGAGACAGTTTTTTGTTCTGTGTTTGTAAAACGTCCAGCTGAATGGGATCCTGGTCCCTGACTATCACTACCAGATGCTACAGTAATTGAAATAATAAAATGATGATAATGGGGGGGTCTTGATAGTGAAAGGGAGGGTGTTAGAGAGCTGGGGAGAGGAAGATTTGGGGCAAAGAGCTTATGTGGGCCAGGAGGGCTGGGGGCAGTGGTAAGGGGTGGGGACAATGTTCCTTGTAGACATGACACAGTTAAATCCTTCATAAGAGTGTCCTGCACCTTTGAACACCTGGGGAGCTGGCCCCAGGAGTTTACTGCTTTAAAATGCGCTGTGGTTAAAATAACAGAACTTTTTGTGTGTGTGATGAGTGTCCCATGAGTTCACCTGATCTCATTTGTCTTCTTTCTCCTGAGCAGTGTTTCCTGTTTCCAAACCTCATGTCATCTCCCAGCTGGAACAAGGGGAAGATTGGGGATTGGTCCTGCTTTGAGTTGGGGATTGGTCCTGCTTTAAGCAGGGGGTTGGACTAGATGACCTCCTGAGGTCCCTTCCAACCCTGATATTCTACGATAAGAGCCATGGGCCCCAGATCTCCAGGGCTCAGAGGAAAGAGAGTTCCTGAGAGGAAGCTTCATAGGTGAAGGATCATTAAACCAACTCTGGCTGAAGAAACAGCTGGGATTCCCAACAAAGACCTTGTGAACTCTTTGAGTTCAGGATTGTCCCCAGCAGGTGTCATATCCTTAGGGTCGATATTGCTCAGAGCCTCCAACCCATCCTGACTAACTCCTGGCAGTAACTCCCTCCCCAAACTCCCATCTCCCTGTATGTTTGGATGGGAACTAGATGCAGAATTAACCCCCTCCTCTCTCCCCCTTGGGGAAGAGTTTGGGGAAATTCAGTCCCTGATTTTTTTCCCATCTCCACCTGTTCTTTTGGTTTGTTCTCTCCTTTACTGTTCCTGTTTCCAAGGTTTTTCTTATTCTGTCCCAGCAGATGATGGGATGGTGAGTGAGACCATGGAGCAGAATCCTCATCAGGAAGTTCACAAGCAAGTGGAATCACGTGGGGTGTTATTGCAAAGATGCAAAGGGAGTGTGTCCAGGAGTTGTGAGCAGGGAAAAACCTGTGAGAGTCAGCACAGGCCAGAGAAGTGGCAGGGAAACCAACCAGCGCAGAAGGTTGGTAAATCTGTTAATTATCAGGGAACTCTCAAAGGCCTCAAGGAAAGCATGGCCCAGCAGGGAATCCCCAAGGGAGAGAGAAAGAACACATGTGTTGATTGTGGGGAAAAATTCAGTAGGCGCTTACAGCTTATTACACATCAGAAGACCCACACAGGGAAGAAACCCTATGAATGCTGTGAGTGCAGGAAAACCTTCACTGATAGTGCAAACCTTATTAGACATCAGAGGATCCACACAGGCGAGAGACCCTATACCTGCTGTGAGTGTGGGAAAAGCTTTGCTTGGAGATCAAGCCTTATTACACATCAGAGGATCCACACAGGGGAGAAACCCTATGAATGCTGTGAGTGCGGAAAAACCTTCAATGATAGCTCACACCTTATTATACATAAGAGGATTCATACAGGAGAGAGAAATTACACATGCGTTGATTGTGGGAAAAAGTTCAGTAGACGCTCAACCCTTATTACGCATCAGAGGATCCACACTGGGAAGAAACCCTATGAATGCTGTGAGTGCAAGAAAACCTTCATTGATAGCTCAAATCTTATTAGACATCAGAGGATCCACACAGGAGAGAGGCCCTATAAATGCTGTGAATGTGGGAAAACCTTCACTACAAGCTCACTCCTTATTACACATCAGAGGATCCACACATCAGAGAAACCCTATGAATGCTGCGAGTGTGGGAAAGACTTTTCTTCAAGCTCATACCTTATTACACATCAGAGGATCCACACAGGGGAGAAACCCTATAAATGTCTTGAGTGTGGGAAAACCTTTGCTTGGAGCTCATACCTTATTATACATCAGAGGATCCACACAGGGGAGAAACCCTATAAATGTTTTGAGTGCGGGAAAACCTTTGCTGTTAGCTCAAACCTTGTTACACATCAGAGGGGCCACACAGGAGAGAGAAATAACACATGTGTTTATTGTGGGAAAAAGTTCAGTAGGCGCTCAACCCTTATTAGACATCAGAGGAGCCACACAGGAGAGAGACCCTATGCATGCTGTGAATGTGGGAAAACCTTCACTCGGAGCTCACACCTCATCAGGCATCAGAGCATTCACACAGAGGAGAAACCCTATAAATGCTGTGAATGTGGAAAAACCTTCAATCGGAGCTCAAACCTTATTAGGCATCAGAGGATCCACACAGGGGAGAAACCCTATGAATAAGGATAAGATTTGGTCATGGATTCCATGACTTTCCAGGACCTCCGGGGTAGGGCTGGAGCAGCTCTCAGCCGCGGGGCCCCCACTAAACAGCTCATCAGCCAGCCAGCCTTCTGGAACAGCGGGCTGGAGCAGCTGCACTGTTCTCCCCCCACCCCCTGGGTTTTTTAGTAAAAGGGACAGGTTGTGGCTTCCATAAATTTTTGTTTATTGCCCATGACCTGTTCCTGACTTTTACTAAAAATACCTGTGACAGAATCTTAACCTTACCTGTGAATGCTGTGAGTGTGGGAAAACCTTCACTCAGAGCTCACAAATTATTACACATCAGAGGATCCACACAGGGGAGAGACCCTATGAATGCTCCGAGTGTGGGAAATTCTTCCAGCAGAGGTCCGCCCTTATTTATCATCAGAAAAGTTGCAAGGGAGATAAACACCATAAAAATCTTGTCTAGGGCTGAGAAAATATTTTGTTTTCCTTTTGCTAATTCCCACGTAGTGAGCTTTAAGGCAGCATTTGTGTCACCATGGCCTCTCAGCTCCCTCAGCTGAGTAGTCTGCTTTTCCCTTTTGCAGCTCACCCTTCCTTGGGGTGAATCCCAGTCCTTTTCATCAAATGCTTTGTCCTATGTCATAGAAGTGTATGTCCCTCCAACAGGAATGTCCTTCAGCCCCAGGTAGGGGGACCAAGAGTGACCTCAACTAGGTACATGGAGGTTAAATCTACCTGGGCCTTGACTCCACTAGTATTTTCCATGGAGTTAGCTACCTTGAGGTAGCTATCCTGTTGTAAAAGCAACTATTTTTTCAGTAAAGAAAATAGCCCATTTATAGTGGCCATGGTAATTTAGCCCTGACATAACCTCCATTGCTTTTCCTAGCCTAAACAAATTTGGAGAATTACATTTATCCTTTTCCTCCCACTGCAAAGCGATTGTTAGTCATCAAGTTACATTGGGTTGTGTTCAATAGCAGTTGTTATTGTACCATTTTTCTCATTTTAAATATATTTAAATATAACAAAGAGAAAGGACCAGGATTGGGGATAGGGAAAAAAGTGTTTTTTCAACCTCTGTGGCACCTGAAGTAGTGAGTCAGAGGGATTCCCACCTTCTGAATTACCCCAGCAGTATTTCCTCTGTGCCATGTAGAATTTATCTTCTCCACATTCTATACCTCCACTTCTCAATGTGTCATATGATTCAGTGTTCTCAGCCTTCTGCTTGGGAATCAGTTTTTTTCTTTCATCCTAAAACATAGTAATTTAGGGTCTGAGATGAAAGTGTCAAAGATCTCGAAGGGGAATTTGAATGGATCTCAAACATAGTGTGATCATTTTGTAAGCCATAGGGCTAGCTAGCATATTCTTGGCTGTAATGCAAGAAACCTAGAGGCAACATCCTGTATGTTGAGTTAAGGCAAGTTTGCATACATATATTTGGGACCTTTAGCCTATATAAATGATAATAAGCTAATGCATAAAGTGTGTTTGTGTGTGTATATATATATGTTTGTGATCTTTAGCATAGATAAGTGAGGAAACATTAAGATAGAGGGCTACCTAAGTTCATGTCCTCTATAAACTTAACAGGTACACCACAAAGAACATGGAAATAACTTGTTAGGCCAGAAATAAGAGATAAGAATGAGCTAAGTGTCATTAATAGGTATGAATATGTCATTAATTCACATGAACATGCCAGCCTATAGGGTAAATGTACTTTGATTTTTGTGGGTGAGGAAATTAAGTTTGGACATGGAAGGAGGGCACCTGGTGCTCAGGCTCTATAAGAGGGGCAACCTACCATGTTAAGTTAGCCTTATAGCTTCTATAGTCTTAGTCTTATAGTTCTCTATAGTTCTTAATTCTTAAATTAGTTGGGTCAAACTCTATTAGATTATGATGTCTTTCTATAGCTTTTAGTGCTCTAGCTTCTCCTAAGCTCTTCACCTCCCACTCGAGAACTGGGGAACCTGGAAATCAGACTCTTTTGGCATGCCAGAGGTAAGGCTGGTCCTTTGTCTCTTACCACCAGGTTATCTAAAAAGCTTTAAAATATATAATACCAGATGTGCCACTAGAAGAATATTATTTCCTTTGTAATTCTAACTGATTATTATCTATTTTATTATTATTCCATTTCATCTCAATAAAAGTCTTTAAGGTTATATTTTCTTCTCTGTGTGAGTGTCCTTCTCAAACCTGTGTACCCTGATTCTGGGACAAGAACATTATTATCTTCTGATCAGAGTAATTGGTGAGCCTATAACCATATTATATAAACAATAATGTTAAGCTCCTAAAAATCAGGCAACAGGCTGGTGAGCCAGCCAGGAAACTCAAGGAGTGTGGCAGGAATTTTCAGGAATTCTAGGTGTTTCTAGACACCTAGGAGGTTCACCTGAGGCAAATTAGAGTTAGAGAGCAAAAGAGAGCAGAAAGCTATGTGTGTGTGACTTTGTCTAACAGACTACCTTGGAGCACAGGAAACCTTATTTCCTTTGGAAAAAACAAAACAAAACAATGAGGAGTCCTTGTGGCACTTTTGAGACTGGCAAATTTATTTGGGCATAAGCTTTCATGGGCTAAAACCCACTTCATCAGATGCATGGAGTGGAAAATACAATAGGCAGAATATATATATACACACAGTACATGAAAAGATGGGAGTTGTCTTACCAAGTCGGGGGTCAGTGCTAACGAGCCAATTCAATTTAAGTTGGAAGTATGCAGTTCTCAACAGTTGACAAGAAGAAGTGGAAATCAGTGTTGTAATGTTAATGAGGCCTATGGAAACAAGATGGCCCATTTCAAACAGTTGACAAGAAGCTGTGAGTATTTAGCATGGGGAAATTAGTTTTTGTAAAAACAACGAGGCATACTTGTGGCACCTTAGAGACAAACAAATTTATTTCATTTTTGTAGTGACCCATCCACTCCCAGTCTTTATTCAGGCCTCTGACAATCTGTTTCTTCACTTCACGAGGTGGAATTCCACCCAGATTTCAACAATTTCCACCCCACCATCAACCTCAGCCTGGACCAGTCCACACAAGAGATCCACTTCCTAGACAGGACAGTGCTAATAAGCGATGGTCACATAAACACCACCGTATACCGGAAGCCTACTGACCACTATACTTACCTACATGCCTCCAGCTTTCATCCAGGCCACATCGCACGATCCATTGTCTACAATACCCACCTGGTGAAGTGGAGAAACAGATTGATAGAGCTAGAAGGGTACCCAGAAGTCATCTACTACAAGACAGGCCCAACAAAGAAAGTAACAGAATGCCACTAGCCATCACCTATAGCCCCCAACTAAAACCTCTCCTGTGCATCATCAAGGATCTACAACCTATCCTGAAGGTTGATCCCTCACTCTCACAGACCTTGGGAGACAAGCCAGTCCTCGCTTACAGGCAGCCCCCCAACCTGAAGCAAATACCCATCAGCAACTACATACCACACAACAAAAACACTAACCCAGGAATGAAACCCTGCAACAAACCCCAGTGCCAACTATGTCTGCATATCTATTCAAGGGACACCATCATAGGATGTGACCACATCAGCCATGCCATCAGGGGCTCATTCACCTGCACATCTACTAATGTGATATATGCCATCATGTGCCAGCAATGCTCCTCTGCCATGTACATTGGCCAAATGGGACAGTCTCTACGCAAAAGAATAAATGGACACAAATCTGACATCAGGAATTATAACATTCAAAAAACAGGTTTCAGAGTAGCAGCCGTGTTAGTCTGTATCTGCAAAAAGAAAAGGAGAACTTGTGGCACCTTAGAGACTAACAGATTTATTTGAGCATAAGCTTTCGTGAGCTTCAGCTCACTTCATCGGATGCATTCAGCGGAAAATGCAGTGGGGAGATTTATATACACAGAGAACATGAAACAATGGGTGTTACCATACACACTGTAACGAGAGTGATCAGGTAAGGTGAGCTATTACCAGCAGGAGAGTGTGGGGGGAACCTTTTGTAGTGATAATCAAGTTGGGCCATTTCCAGCAGTTGACAAGAACATCTGAGGAACAGTGTGGGGGGGGGAGGGCAATAAACATGGGGAAATAGTTTTACTTTGTGTAATGACACATCCACTCCCAGTCTTTATTCAAGCCTAAGTTAATTGTATCCAGTTTGCAAATTAATTCCAATTCAGCAGTCTCTCACTGGAGTCTGTTTTTGAAGTTTTTTTGTTGAAGAATTGCCACTTTTAGGTCTGTAATCGAGCGACCAAAGAGATTGAAGTGTTCTCCGACTGGTTTTTGAATGTTATAATTCTTGACGTCTGATTTGTGTCCATTTATTCTTTTACATGGAGACTATCCAGTTTGCCCAATGTACATGGCAGAGGGGCATTGCTGGCACATGATGTCATATATTACATTCGTAGATGTGCAGGTGAACGAGCCTCTGATAGTGTGGCTGATGTGATTAGGCTGTGTCCCCTGAATAGATATGTGGACACAGTTGGCAACGGGCTTTGTTGCAAGGATAGGTTCCTGGGTTAGTGGTTCTATTGTGTGGTGTGTGGTTGCTGGTGAGCTTATGCTCAAATAAATTTGTTAGTCTCTACGGTGCCACAAGTCCTCCTATTCAAAAAACAGTAGAACACTTCAATCTCCCTGGTCACTCAATAACAAACTTAAAAGTGGCAATTCTTCAACAACAAAAACTTCAAAAACAGACTCCAATGGAAAACTGCAGAACTGGAATTAATTTGCAAACTGGACACCATCAAATTAGGCCTGAATAAAGACTGGAAGTGGATGGGTCACTATAAAAACTAAATCAATTTGTTAGGCTCTCAGGTGCCACAAGTACTCCTCATTGTTTTTACAAAAACTAATTTCCCCTTGCTAAATACTCACACTTTCTTGTCATCTGTTTGTAATGGGCCACCTTGTTTACATTGGCCTCATTAACACTACAAAACTGATTTCCACTCCTTCTTGTCAACTGTTGAGAATTGTCTACTTCCAACTTAAATTGAATTGGCTCGTTAGCACTGACCCCACATCTTGGTAAGGCAACTCCCATCTTTTCATATGCTGTGTATTTATACCTCCCTACTGTATGTTCCACTCCATGTGTCTGATGAAGTGGGTTTTAGCCCATGAAAGCTTATGCCCAGATAAATTTGTTAGTCTCTAAACAGCCACAAGGATTCCTCATTGTTTTTGCTAATACAGACTAACATGGCTACCACTCTGGAACCTATTTCCTTTGACTGTTTTTTTGGCAGTGGTCCCAGTGGTATTTCCTGTTTGTGGCAGGCCTAGCACTGCACTGCCCCTTTGTGGCAGGGGTGGGGTGTAGGAACGTCGCCACTCCCAAGTTCACACACCTGTCTCTCTGTGGGCATCCAGTTGCCGCCTAATGGCCTCCTTCCACACAATCGGCCCTTGGTCGGGGTAGTGCAGCCTAGCAGCCAGAGTCCAGGTTAATCGTCCCAAGTGTCAGGGCAGCATAACCCAATGGGCAGGGTCCATATAAATCTTTCCCCATATTGAAGCAGTGCAGCCTAATGGCCAGAGTCTATACAATCCCCCTTGCAAGCGGGGTAGTGTGGCTTAGCCGCCAGAGTCCATAGGATTCCTGCGGTATGGGGGAGTGGTAGGAGGACCCAGGCCTGCCCTCTCCACTGGGTCCCGACCCAGGGCCCTGGTAGTGACAAGCTCCCCTTGCTACCAGCTCAGCGGGGATCCGCCTGCAAGACACTGAGTGTCAGTGCGGTTCTAACGCCGTTTGCCTCTAAAGTTCCCCTGGGTCACTTCCTACCATAAACGCCGGGTTCTCTACTTCAGGGGGTCCTCTGGTCTGTCCCCCTGCTGTGCGTCTGGCCATCAGGGTGCATCCCAACTTGGCTGGCCTCCGGATTCTGGCACCCAGGCTGTCCCTCCTTGGGAGCTGGCTGCATGCCTCCTTCCCCTCCAGCAGTCAGCCCCGACTGAGCAGCTCTGCAGGCTTTTATACCTGTTCTTCAGTTGGAGCTTGCCCAGCAGAGCTTCCGGGGCAGGGCTTTCTCTGCTAGGAAGGAAGGGTTAACCCCTGTGGTACCAGTGTGGGGCCGCTCTGCCCCATCACACTGTTCTTTACTGCAATTTAGATTTTCTGTTTAATCTGGACTGGCCAGAGTTTATAGATAGTGTTTAATCTTGCAAGGTAAGGAGGAATGAGACTTGTACTGTTTATAGTGATATTTACATTTAATGGGCTTTGTTGACATTTTAAAGTATAATTGTCATAAATATAAAGGGAAGGGTAAACACCTTTAAAATTCCTCCTGGCCAGAGAAAAAATCCTTTCACCTGTAAAGGGTTAAGAAGCTAGAATAACCTTGCTGGCACCTGACCAAAATGACCAATGAGGAGACAAGATACTTTCAAAAGCTGGGAGGAGGGAGAAAAACAAAGTGTCTGTCTGGGTGATGCTTTTGCCAGGGACAGAACAGGAATGGAGTCTTAGAATTTGGTAAGTAATCTAGCTAGATTATGTGTTATGATTATGCATTAGATTATGATTTCTTTAAATGTCTGAGAAAACAAGCTGTGCTGAATAGAATGGATATTCCTGTCTGTGTGTCTTTTTGTAACTTAAGGTTTTGCCTAGAGGGATTCTCTATGTTCTGAATCTAATTACCCTGTAAGGTATTTACCACCCTGATTTTACAGAGAGGATTCTTTTTTACTGTTTCTTCTATTAAAATTCTTCTTTTCAAGAACTGAATGTTTTTTTCATTGTTCTTAAGATCCAAGGGTTTGGGTCTGTGGTCACCTGTGCAAATTGGTGAGGATTTTTACCAAACCTTCCCCAGGAAGTGGGGTGCAAGGGTTGGGAGGATTTTGGGGGGAAAGACATTTCCAAACAACGCTTTCCTAATAAAATAAACCCGGGTAAAAGTATTGGTGGTGGCAGTGGAAGTCCAAGGGCAAAGGGTAAAATAGTTTGTACCTTGGGGAAGTTTTAACCTAAGCTGGTAAAAGTAAGCTTAGGAGGTTTTTATGCAGGTCCCCACATCTGTACCCTAGAGTTCAGAGTTGGGAAGGAACCTTGACAATAATATTGATACCTGAAATTTGAAATTGCAGTTGCATTGGGGCCAGGTGACCCACACTCAGAGGTGGCAGGAGAACTGAGTTTTTTG